TCACACCCACATACACCCACACCCACATCCACCCCCACACACTCACACCCACATCTACACACACCCACATCCACCCACCAACACCCACACACACCCACATCCACCCACCCACACTCACACCCACACCCACATCCACCCACACCCTAGCCACACCCACACACCCGCAAGGTCACAGAGAACATGAATATATAATTAGAATCAGTTTTGATCCTATGATCCTAAAAAAATGTTGACTATATGATTTCATGGATTTTGTGAATCCTCTTATGGGATAGAAATTTGTGATATGTATATCTCGTGAATGTCGCATTCGAAAACCTTGATTTTTTCGTTGCGTAATATAACTCGCAGACTTCTATCAGATGGTGCATGAATGGATAGATTCAGTGGATTCATATGTAATAGCGGTTGACATCCCATGGAACTACCCTATGAAGGCACTAGAATATACAATAAACATTTAGAATGTTTCAAGAAGTAGAAATAGTCAGTTATTAAAGATAAGAACTCGTTAATCTCATCAATTTCAGTTTTGATTTGTATAAGTTGATAAGAAAACAAATTTTAACGTTTGATAATCAGTTTAATAGTACCAATAGAATTATTGATTATTCATAGATTCTTTTTTCAATGTACTTTTAGCTTGTGGGTCATTTTATTGAAGCGCATTGTTCTAATTCAACATTTATTTGTGATCATCCACAAATCATAGGTTCATTGACAAAATAGAAAGAAAATTTTCTTTTTTTCGATTTTCTAAAAACTTCCTTGTTTGATATCATTCATATTATATTTTGTTGTTTTTTTTCTTTTAGTTTATTCATCGTTCTTTACATAGTTTAAGAGAACGTTTTGAATTATTTGTGTATTATAAAGAAGTATGTAATGTATATTCTGAATTGAATGATAGATTTGTACAATGTGAAGTATTTCAATTACAAGCAAAAGTAAATTCAGTTTCTTATTTCTGATATGTTCAAATTCGACAATGAATTGTGAGAAAAAAATAAATGGTTTTATTATCTTTACGAATAAACTAGTTGTTCATAAAGAAGCTCAAAAAATTGATAACAATTATTGTAAAACATTTGAATATGGTTTACCACCAACTTGGGATTGAGGTATAGGAATTGATCGCTTGACAATGACTTTAACAAATAGTACTAATATTGAAGAAGGTTACATACCACTAATCAGTTTTTATTGTTCATATAGAAATTGATCCAATAATGATCAAAATTATCTCGTTCTTCTTTATACTGAAATATAAAAAAATTTCATATATTTACAATTATGGTTCACTGCAAATAAATCATATTAATCACACCTTTCTTTCGTCATTATATAACTATAATTATTGCAGCTATGTATAATATAAGTTTTAAATCTTCATTTTGATTTTCTCTGCAAACAATATTGTGTAGAATATCACTTGATTGTAATAAAAATGTAATTATTAAACAAAGTTACATGAGTAGTCGATATTTTCTACTATACATAAATCTCATTTCCATATTGGATAATAGATCCATCGATTAGGACTAGAAGACTTCGTTTCATGATCGAAGAAATTTTTATTAAACTTGCATTTGAACTTGAATTGAATTTCAAGTTTTTTTATTCTAAGTTCTAATCATTCTAAGAAAAATTTTTAAATTGACGAAAGAATTGTTTCACACAATAAATCGTTTTTCAGGTCAGACTTTATATGCAAGGTTTAAACTAGTGAAATACGAAAAGATGCAAAAAAGTGTGTGTGTGTGTGTCCTGGGACCATATCTTTAAAATTAAAGTAATTTTCAGACTATGGCGCCGTAGATACCAAGAAATCAAATGATGATATTTCAATTGATAATTTGGCTCATAGATAATATTGCGAGAAAGCTGCGAAAATCTCAGATAGTTTTTGAAAATGCAATGTCTTGCGAAGAAAGTATTCTTTGAAGATAAAATTCAATTTGTTATTACATACAATGTTTTAATATAAAATTTGCATAAAATGGCGCAAACTCTGAAGACAACATCTAAAAACAATTATTCTTTCTCCAGCTTTCCATACATCATTAGTATCAACCTTATACGTAGAATCCAAACGTAAAAATGATTTATTGGGGTGTGGGTATGGGTTTTGATGAAGAGAAAACTCACACTCACCCACATCCCACACCCACACCCACGCCCACACCCACACCC